ACTATATTTATTAAATATATAGATAATTAATTATAAAAAAATTATAATATACAACAATATTTTAAGCTGTTATGAATTTAAACAATAAAAGTTATAACATAAAACCTCAAACATTCATTAATTCGTGAGTAAGCGAATCTTATATATTTATATGTTATTAGATANACATTCATTAATTCGTGAGTAAGCGAATCTTATATATTTATATGTTATTAGATATAATTTATTTATTTAAATGAGTATTTAAACACAAATGCCGTTTAACACAATGCTGTGACAATAAATCATTTTTAAACAACATTAACACACTGTTTATCAGGTAGAATGTTAAATATAATATATATGTCTATAAAAATTAAATCATAAACTAAAATATGTGAATATTATTATATGTGTAGTTTAAAAAAAGTCTTTTTCTTAAGAAGTCATACATTTTAACTGTAAGTATTTGATATGGTAATTATGATTTTTAATAAATATTGCGTTCTAACAATCTTCATTGGGATATTTTGTAATATCCCATTCATCAAATGTAATTGCTTTAAACCGAAGAGTTTTGATGATGCAGATGAATTTGAAGAAGCATTGCAACTTGATACTGGATGTGAAAAACTTGCTTATGAAAAAGTATGTAATATGAATTTAAAGGAATTACTAAGAATCGAGATGAATAATTATGAACCAAAATGTAATCTGGGCAATAGAGCGCACGTTATCTACTACAAGCTCTATTGTGGTAATTTATATTACTTTTTAAAATATATGAAACTTAGTGAAGATTTTATACCACAAGAAATAACAAAAAATTTGAGCACAGGTTTACTTTTTGATGAATTAGTTATTCAACGCATATTAACTATAATACTAAAATCAAAGCTAAACGCACCTTTAGATCCTTTGTGGAAAATGTATATGTATGTAATTTACATGAAAAAAGGATTTGAGGATAAAATGACTATTAAATCATATCTTTCTGCTGTTATACAACATATAAAAGAGGATTTAAATGCACATACAGATCAATATTGTCAAAAAGATGATAATTACCATGCAACAAAATTAGGTGACCTAAGCAATGTAAACAGAAGTTCAGAAATAACAAATGTTATAGATGTTATAAATACTAGAATGAATAATAATTCCTTTTTCCTGGACAAGGAAGAAAATTGGGTTTCTCTTAGCAGTATTTATCTTAAGAATATTTTTGATAAATCTGATATTTTGAAAACTATAATACAAATCGGGGACCAAACTGTGGAAAATAGTGATAAAATTTTAAAAAATATTCAAATTGCATTTACAGATGCTCGAAATTATTTTTGGTTTGATTTATGGATTTTTAATATAAATATTTATCTTACAAAATTTTTTAACATTTTTAAAGTCGTAGCATTGCATTTAATGAGAAAGCATCTAAAATATTTAATGTATGATGAAAATAACACTAACATTACACTTTGTAATTCCGAAATGAATAAAATTTTGAATTCTAATGTTACATTGATAAATTTATTCAATTTAGGAATTACTAATATCTCATGTATCATACCTTTATTCTCAGAAAAACCAACTAAAAAAGAAAACTATAATATTATAAATTCTAATAATATAAAAAAAATTGAAGAAAGAATTAGCAATATTTGTTATGTTGAATCATTTGAAATATTACAAATACAGGTTAATGACTCTAATTACACTACTTTTTCAATTGATAAAACTAAAAAATTTATGTCGGACATTAAATTGAGCAATGAAAAGAAAATAATATAAAAAGATTTGAAAGTATCTCAAGAATAAACGGATTGAATGATAACTTTCTGAGGTTTAATATTTTTCTAGAGTATTTAGAAAATATATTTAAGAGTGTCAACTTCAGTATGATTCGGTCATTCATGGAATTTTCTTCGAAATATATTAAAAATGAAATTAAACACTGGGAAGGAAAAAAAAAAGAAGATAAAACATATATTTCATTTTAATAATTATTTTTTAGACATCGAAATTATGTTTTTCATAATTCTATTGATACTTATAATAATCCTAAATTAATTTTGATGTTTTAAAAATAATTATAAAAATAAAATTTTATGCGAATATTTTTAACTACCAGTAAAAGTTTGAAAATTTGACAATTCAATTGTTAATTATGAAACACAATGAAATTAAAATTCCACACCCGAAATTATATATGGATAATAAAGAAGAAAAATATATTTCAATTTAATATGTATTTTTCAAGAATTGTATTATGTTTTTCATAAGTTAATTTACATTTATAAAAATTATAATTTAATTTTGATTTTTTAATAATAATAATATAAATAAATGTGTGTATTGTGAATATTTTTTTGAATATCATCCAGAATTAAAAAATAAGTCAGCTGTTAGATATTAAAATATATAAATGTTATACTAAATACAGTCGTAATTTAATGTTTATTAATTTGTAATATAACGGTTGATATGTATATGCATAACACTCTGAATTTATAAAATAAATAAGATTGTTAACCATCTTTAGTGGTTTTTCGACCGATATCGATCATGTCGGGTCAGAATGTTTAATTGCTTGCTGAACTGTTAATTATTGTCGATTTTAATAAATGTATATTGGCGTTTAATAAAAATATTGAATATCCCTTAATTATAAGCCTACTAGATTTTATTGTTTAACATCATAATAGTGTATGTTATTTTAGCATAATTATAAACTACAGTAAAATTTATTTTAATAAAAAATAAATAAATAAATTATACAAAATTATACTAAATGTTTAGAAATTGTATTATAAATGTTTCAAAATAGTTTTAAATTTAAATTTAATGATGTTGACATTTTTTTTTCTAATGAAACACATTAACTATAATGACGATGTTATTCAGAGTTTGTTACTTTTGAGAAAAAAATTACATCTCTGTATTGTCCAATAATCTCAGAGCATTCAATGTCATATTATAATAATAAAAACAAAAAAAATAACCACTTGGTTACTTCTTGTATAATAGTGGAGGTATTGTTTATTACATGTTAGGAATAAAAAACTACAGACTGACACGATAGTGTAGTGATAAGTATCCCCACCTGTGACGTGGAAAACCGGCGTTAGATTCCCCGACGGGGAGCCACTTGACAAGACTTATGTCGCAATAATGTAATCGTCACTAGTGTTGAGGGTAGAGGGTTATTTAACAACAACAGGTTATTTAAAAAAAATATATAAACAAAAAACTGGAAAGATGAACACAGTTAATAATAATCTTCGCATAAAGTCGTGGCACTTTCGCTAGCGTAGGAGACGTGGTGTCCAGCATGATCCTCGAGCGTCGAAAAGTTAGCAGCGTTGATGGCTACGGTGTGCGGGTGCTGATCAGTTCGTCGAGTTCGGTCGTGTGGCACGTTCAGAGCCGGTATCGTACATCCTTGACGTTGCCACTTTGACAACGGGCAGACTACTCAACGTATCATTTGCGGCGGGTCGTCGTCGGCCGTGTGGCACTTTCTGTACTTTGCCCCGTGGCGTATGGCACGCGGTGTTAGTCAGTCAAATACTCATAGAAGGGCGACGGCTGATAAAGGTGCCACGAGTCGCGGGGCATAGTATATCACAAAGCGACGCGGAGCCGCACAAAATCTATACGAATGTTTTGGTATATAAAATATAAAGTTATTAATTTCGAAATTATCATTTACAACGGACGTATTTTATAGCATTTAGACAGTAATAACGCACTCATACCAGTTGAACTCTATTTATAATTACACATTACAACTCTGTATATTAAATATGAATAAATTATTACGTTTTTAGCTTCAATGTATAGTTGAGAAGATATTAATTTAACTATTGTGTTTTTATGTTTTTTGTTGTGATATACACACCATATCATTATTGTGGATATTATTAAACATAAACTAGAAAATGTGATCAAAATGTAAAAAAGGAATATTTGTTTGGTATTCAAAAGAAACAAAAAAATACTGCATATGCTTTGATGGAAAAGGAGTTTCATTAGCATATATGTTGTATTCAAAGAATCCACAGAAATGGAGATTAAAATTCACGCTCAAATATGGTCTGTTATTTCTAGAGCTTCTCAAAACTCATATCATAGTAATAATATTATTAAAAAACAAGATTGTAACTTACAACCCACATTTATTTTTATTTTCTTTCTTTTTGAGTTACTACAGTCTAATCACTTTTTTCAACGGACCGATTACTTTCAAAGACACGTCAAAAGATCACAATTAATAATTTGCTAAAGGCACTGCCCCCAAACACCAAACAAATTTTCTTCATTTGCTGAAAATGGTAGAAATTTCCTGAAAAATTACGATTTTTAAAATTGGTAAATTTCTACATTTTTTTCTTAAAACTGTAATAGATTTTTGAAGAATAAATTAATAAAAACAAATTTTTTTGATAAAAATGTTTGGGTGTTTTCCTTTAATATTATTATTTAGTATATATTTTTCAAATATTTTATCCATTACCAACCCACGGAGAGGGATTCAAAATGATAACTTTTACCTAATAAGTTAATTTTTGAAGATGATCCGCAAATACCACGAACTTCAACAAATGTTCAATTAAAGCTTATGTTACATTTTAGAAATTTGTCC